GAATTCAGCAATCGCGAAAAGCTAGGGGGTCTGAATAGCAGTGCATCAGATCTCTTGGCCTGTCTATTCCAACCATTCAACCTGCTGGTAATCTGAAGGATTTTAAACGTGCGAACACAGCAGCATGGATAGGCCATGTGTCTGAATGGGAACAACCTCAACTGATTAAAGACACTGCCACTCTCCAGTTCTGGTACAGCTCTCCCGACAAAAATGGTTGATGAACATAAAAAGGTTTGCTGTATCGTCTCTGACAGCATCACGGGGAAACGCATGCAACAAACCCCAATAATCATGGAAAAAAACACTTATGACCCTAAATGGCTAAATACTGCTTGTCATATGTAGACTTGTTCTCACAGCTTGGCAGGTCTGCCTTGCATTCAGAAAGCACATGCTCTCATGAATAATTAGGAAGCAGGGTCTTCTCACAGGATAAGAAAACTCTGCTATGAATTATAAAGAGAATCAGACGTGTCATCACTCCACTAGCAGATTCACGCTACATCACCGATTTTTGATCTTGCCCCAAAAATTGTTTTAAACTCGGAAGATGAAATTAGCTGAAAAAAGCTCAAAATTATCCACTTTTCCCCACAATTAAAGCTAACAGGTGCTAATGTTGTCATAACTGATGCTCAAGCACAAATTTGTTAATCTCAAAAGTCCTTGAGTGTGTCTTGAACTTTTAAATTGTTGGCTTTCCGAGTTGGAAACTGTTTATATAAATATACAGACACACTTAATTTTATTTATATATTCTTTTCAAATGTAAATATTTATATATTACTTTTATTATCATCATTATTATAAACCTTATTCTATATTTGAGGCAAAGCAAATCTTTAAAATCTAGAGTTCAGTTTTTTTTTTTTTTTTTGATAAATGATAAGTAACAGTTAAAAGTAATTTGCAGGGCTTTTGTTGCACTAATTCCCATGTTAAATTAGATTACGCAAAGCGTTGATGTGATGAAATACCCAAGTAATTTTTCACTAGAAGTCAGTTCTCGTTCAATTCCGGTATGGCATGTCAAGATGTCATTCAGGTTTAGCGTTTATTATGGTACGTGCAAGAGCATGTTTGGAATCGTTGCATAAATACTGCTGTGTTGTAATAAGTGTATAATCGATCTTTAAAAAAAACTCCAGAGACTAGTGATAATGAATTAGTGTATGAAATGAGCAAAGAGGTTAATCCACATTTGTTGAATGCATTTCACAGCGAACACCAAGCACTTGTCGTTTGATGAAGTAGTGAATCAGTCCAGTCCCAGCAACTGCACTGTCTATTGTGGTGGAGTCACTACAGGCCTTACAGGTTAGTGTTTGCTGTAGGCTATAACCTGAAACGACTTGTACCAGATTTGATTGATATTACCCTTTTGTAAAGTTGAAGCTGGACAATTTTATGCAACTTTATTAAATTTAATCCAGTATGAATGGAAAGTAATTTTTAACTTCTCTCATTTTTCTACCCCTGAAGAACAACTCATGAGACAAACATTTTCCCCTTTTGGCCAAATCATGGAAGTTCGAGTATTCCCAGACAAAGGCTACTCGTTTGTGCGGTATGTCAATGCTATTAAAATGGGATGTTGTAGTTATGCTTAAACTCTTAAATTAGGTTGATCTAAGAGTGTTCTTAATATTTGCAGGTTCAACTCTCATGAAAGTGCAGCTCATGCGATAGTGTCGGTAAACGGTACGTCCTTAGAAGGTCACATAGTGAAATGTTACTGGGGTAAGGAGACTACAGACATGGTGAGCCCCATGCAGCAGGTGCAGGTACCCCAGGTGAGCAGGAGTATCTTTTTCTGTTATTTTAAATATAGTTTAGAAGTGTTCTAGCAATATATAGAAGAGCGTTGAGAATCTTGTGAAATTTAATCTAGTTATGAAAAATATTTGCTGTTAATTAAATCACAGGGTGTCCGTATTTTTTTTTAAGTATTGATGTCTTAAACTGACTGAAGTATTTTGTTACAGAACTTAAATTATTTTAAACCAGTTTTCATTTTTCTTATGTCTGTGGAAAGATACCCCAAGCTGGCCAGCACCTTTCCAGTGACCAACAATCCATCTCAATAAAAGTTTTACTAAAAGTTTTCTTTCTTAACTCCTATTTACCAATATGGTTTAATTGTCTTCGTTAAAAGTTCTTATTTTAAAGAAAGTTTGTTGAAAAAAAGTGTATGTATACAAATAGGGTTTGCTTCTTTTGATATTATTTAAAATATGTGGCTAATAATTAATAAAAAAAAAATCTATCTATCTATCTATCTAATTTTATATATATATATATATATATATATATATATATATATATATATATATATATATATATATAATTTAATTTTTTTCTTTCTCCACAGGGCCAACTAGGACATTAGAAAAATATCTTTGGAATTTAGTTAACATTTAATTCATAATAATCTTAAAGACCCTAATGTCTTTATTTTGACTCTGTGGAACCTGCAGAAACCCTGACTCTGTTTTATGTTCTGTTCTTTTTTATTTTCTAGCAGAGTAAAGTTGGTTTTGCTGCGCAACCATACGGCCAGTGGGGACAATGGTACGGCAACGCACAGCAAATTAGTCAGTATGTCCCTAATGGCTGGCAGGTACCCACTTACGGCGTGTACGGACAGGCCTGGAATCAGCAGGGCTTCAAGTAAGATTACGTGGTTTCATTTTGTTTAATGTTTTGAAAAAGTTTGAGGCTGCTGTGAGTGTCATGCAATCAGACAATTGGATGAATCATTGACTACTTTGGTGCTAGTTGGGCTTGAAAATATACCTTGTGTAACTACAGATTTAATTTTCATTTGTCTGCAAGATACAATGTGCATGTAATATTATGTAGGCCTCTAATGTTAGAGAGTCGCTCATTTAGCAGGATAATGAAAACACGAATGTAGATGGTGTCAAGTTTAATTTCTGCGATTTTTCTGAGGTAGATCCATTGATGAACCCTTACATACTTTGCTATATGCAAAAAAAGTATAAACCTGTTTTAATTATAACTTAAGACTGCTCAACATTTGAACTGATAAAATGAAACGTGTGGTCAAATGTCAAACAGTTATATTAAAGTTGAATTAACAAACAACTTATTAAAAACATGTTTTTATATAAATATTAATCTCATTCATCTTTTTTTGTATTTTGCTTGTAACATGCCTGGATTGGCTGGTAAATAAAATAGTAGGTGCATTTAGTTTTTGCTACTATAATGTATAAAACAGCTCTAATTTATACATTATAGGAAATAAAGGCAAGTGATCAGTCAATATACAGAATGTAGGCTACGTGGTTACATTAATAACTTATCTTTGCGCTTAGCCAAAACACGTTACCTGAGAACAAGTAATAGATTCCAATGACCAAAGTCGGGGAATATGTCATTAGATATAGACAAGATGAATGAAATGTCACGTTTAAAAAATATAGTGAGATCCAGCGAGAGATTCTTAATAAGCAGTCCGATGAGCAGAGCTCTCACCTGGGTAGATAGGCTGCAGCTCTTGCCTGAGAGTGTGTTTTTAGTCACATGATGTGCGTTTTCAGTGTTTTGGTGTAGATGGAGAGCTGTTCAGAAACGCTGGGTGAAACGCTAGTGTGGACACAGATCGTTTTCATTCTAAAACGCCGTTTTAAAAGTAAAACGCTCTAGTGTAAACGGGGCCTAAGTGCCAATAACACAGCAGAAATGTGCAACAATGGGAATCTAGAAGTGTGTTGATGTTAGAGATGTACCAAATTTTCAGCCACAGAAAATGTATTGGCAGAAAATGTTATGCCATTTAATGCACCCTCTAATTAATGTGGCTTTAGTAATTCTCGGGGTACTCTTTTAAATCTGGAAGCATTATCAACTTGTATCGAAATGTATAGCATCATTGTACAATATGGAAAATAATTATTGAGACTGCATTTTTGCCATATCGCACAGGCTATTTGCAATCAGTAATTATGGTTCTGAAAGACAAACAAAGGTTTTGTATTTGATTCACCATGAAATTATACACAGCAAATCAGTCAGGACGTCTCAATGGCTGGCAGATATTGCATGGTGTAAATGTAAAATTTAAAATCCTTTTAGCAGGATTTGACCTTTTTAAATAGCAGAAAAATATCTCATCATCTGCATGTTCTAACATGTGATCATAATGTCAAATCATCAAACATTTTTGGGTCTCTGAGGATACAATGGAGAGGTACATTTGTTCAATAAAACAATAACATGTATTCAATTAAATGTGTTTTTCAAATAATCTTGTCATCTATAGTTTCATCTATTAGAGGCAAAACTGCACAAATAGCGCTTCATTAACATTGTTAAATTCTAACCGGGATAATTGTATAAGAAACGAGCCTAAGTACGTCACACACCAATAAAAGGTAAATGAAAAATTGCTGTTGATTTGATAACAATAAAGATGTATTACATGGCCTCTTTAATACCTTTAAAAGGTCTACATTACTAGTACAGTAAATAATGTACAATAATGTATTTCTTCCAATCCTTCCCTACACAATACAGCTTTAAATACACAATTACTTCATTAAATATATGGCAAATCTAGTCTTGGCTTTAAATTAAATTTAACATTTGGGATCTTCACTAACATCAAGTGCATTTCTTTAAAGCCAGTCACATGATCAGTATCTTGTGACGTCACTTTTGTTGTCACGATACTGGAATTTTGTTACCACTCTGTACATAAATTTAAAATCTTTAAATAATTCCATATTCCGCTAACATTTAAGTGCCATTGAGTGTGCATGTAAGCACAGATTGTGTTCACGTGCTCAGCTGAAATAACTGTAATTGGTCGTGAAGGTGCGGGCAGTGAACTAATGTCCTTACTGCCAGTCAAAGCTATTTCTGTTGAGCATGTGAACAAAATGGCCAATCAGCTGTGTTTGAGTATCTGCTCAAAAATTAGCAGGACAGTGGATGTTTATAAAATTACAGTAACGATTAAGACCAAAATTCTAGTATTGTGAAGAACACGACATAAATCCTCACAAGAAGTGTCTGCTAAGTGAAGTTTCACAAGCTCATTTTGAAAGAAGCACATGATGATTGATCGTAGCTGGTCTCATCTTTAATCATTAGTAAACTAATCAGATTAATTCAAACTCACTATAAGTAGCCTGTCTAAAGCCTTGGTCACACTGGACTTTTCTCGCCGTAGACTTTCATTCATACGCACGCAATGCGTCAGACTGGAAACGCAAGCTCGTGCATCGTTTCGCAGATCGCTGTGTTGGAAAGTTCAAGCTTGATGAACTGCAAAATCACATCACATGACTGTGTGAGACCAATCGAGGATCAAAATGACCTCCCTGGACAGGAATTTAAAACATGGACCAATCACTCGCTTTTTTTAAAGTCTAATCTTGTTCAATCCTGCCCCTTTTCGAAGTGACGCATGACAGTATTTTGCACTCACAAACTCTAGTGTGACCGCAGCTTAAAACTACTCTCTTATTTTCCTCCTTAACCAGGGGGAGCTCTTGAACTACCGGTTCTCATACCCCCTTACATGCTCATTGACCAAGTGGGGCTCAGATATCTGCGAGCTCAGGGTTCTTTCCCGGGACAGCATGTCAAACCTGCTACTATTATCAAGCAATATCTAAGTGTGAACTCTTTACATCTTAATTGTGCTTTTCAATGCCACCAGCCAACAGCTCCATTGTTTTGTAGTCACTTACAGGCTGGTGCGGGCTGGGCTGGTGTGGGTGCCGTGAGCAACGGAGGTGTCGTAGAGCCTGCGCAGGGAGTCAACGGGACCGTCCTGGCCAACCAGTCCACCATGGGCACTGCAGGATACCACACACACTGATGGGGCGATTGACGACTCTAGCACTCCACTGCGGCCACTGCAGGGATCTACACACTCAAACACACGTCAAGATATGCCTGGCCTGGGGGAGGCGCTGTGCCATTTTTCTTTTTTGTTTTTCTCCCTCGTCCTCCACCTGTAATTTGAGACTTTGAGGCAGATCTTGCTCGTCATTGTGGGGTCGGGTTGCCCTACACCCGGATTAAACATCACACCCTGATACACAAACGTATTCACACAAACACACACACACCCTTACAAATCCCCAAGTCTCTGGCCTGGTGTCCGGCTGACTTATTCGGAGAGGACTATGCCATTTTTAACTATAAATGAATAAAATCAACAATAACTGCAACTTTTTTCATTTTGCCTTTATTTTTGGTTTGTTTCGAGCGATTTCAGCTGCTGATATTGTAATATATGAAGCTTTGCCTTTCTTGTTTTTTGGACTTGCCATTTTAAAAGCAAAATTTGTCTTTTTGAGAGGAGCGATGACACCAACGAATCGTGTGAAATGTCAACCTTTTTTTTTTTTTAGTTTGTTTATAAAATGAATAAAATGGATGTCAACTGTTGTATTTTTTTAATTAGACATTCAATTTCTCAAACTAAACCAATTGCAGGGATGACTGCCGCATTTTTTCTTTGAGGGCAGATAAATATTGCACAATATTAATACGTTTTCACAAGAATTTGATGTTACGCAAATTTTAGGTATTTTAAATTGTTTTGCATTCCAGTTTTTTTGAGGGCTTCTAAGTACAGTATACCGTTCTGTATGTAAATAACCAAACAACTGTGTTCAACTGTTGGGACGCTATATAAAGAAAACTCAAATGTTGATTATGGATGCTTGCTTGCTTGCTTTTTTTGATTTGTAGGTAGGTCGGTGGGTGGGAGGGGGTTTGGGGAAGGTTTTTGGGCTTCATTGCAACTCCTACGGCATTAGCGGCTCTGTTAAATGCTGGTCCATATGGTTTTAAGGATTGTTACAGAGAACTCAAGGAGAATAATTTGCTGCTTTTCTGCAGCACTGAACATTTTGTTAGAACTGCGATAATTCTGTGTATAAAATGAAAATGCTGATTTTTTTTTTTTTAATGAAGTATTTAGTATCAAGACAAGAAACCTGGGTGGATCAGAATTTTGCACTGTTGCCCATTTAATAGACGAGACCAATTGTGTTGCCTTATTTGAGTTGATTTCATTTGAAAATAACTGATGACCATTAAACATAGGCAGTGCCTACGAATAAATTAAAACCTTTGTTTTGAGGGTTTTTTGATAATGTTCATCTTATTACGTGTTTTTGCTTTGTCCCATTAAAATGCAGATGCGAACCAACATATCTCTTTGTCCTTTTATATCCTTGAACTGGATTGTTTTGGATTACAACATGAATTGAATCAGTTGTGATGATAGCCTATACATGTTCAGTTAGGTCCATAAAAATGTGTCCATCGACTCAATTCCAACATTTTTATCTCTACACCAACACAATTGATTTAAAACGAAACTGACAAGATGTGCTTTATCTGCATACTGTTAGCTTTAATTTGGGGGCATTTACATCCAAATCAGGTGAATGGTGTAGAAATTACAACAGTTTGCATATGTGCCTCCCACTTGTTAAGGGTCCAAAAGTAATTGGACAGAATAATTATTAGAAATCAAACTTTCACTCTTTAATACTTGGTTGCAAAACATTTGCAGTCAATTACAGCCTGAAGTCTAAATCGCATAGACATCACCAGCTGCTGGGTTTCATTCCTGGTGGAGCTCTGCCAAGCCTCTACAGCAACTCTCTACAGTTCCTGCTTGTTCTTGGAGCATTCTCCTTTCCATTTTGTCTACAGTAAGTGAAATGCAAGCTCAGTCGCATTCAGGTCAGGCGATTGACTTGGCCATTGCATAACATTTCACTTCTTTCCCTTGAAAAACTCTGGTTGCTTTTGCAGTATGCTTTGGGTCATTCTCCATCTGCGCTGTGAGGTGCCGTCCAATGAGTTCTGAAATATTTGGCTGAATATGACCAGAAAATTCTGCCTGAAACACTTCAGAATCCATCCTGCTGCTTTTGTCAGCAGTCACATCCTCAATAAACACAAGAAAACTAGTTCCATTGACGGCCATACATGCCCATGACATGTCACTACTACCACCATGCTTCACTGCCAAGGTTCATAAGCAGTTTTTTTCCCTTCAACATTCTCTTCTCTTCCCATCACTCTGGTACAAGTTGATATTGGTCTCATCTGTCCATAGGATGTTGTTCCAGCACTGTTAAGGCTTTTTAAAAAATCTAATCTGGCGTTCCTGCTTTTGAGGCTCACCAATGGTTTACATCTTTTGGTGAACCCTCTGTATTCACTCTGGTGTATTCTTCTCTTGATTGTTGACATTTGACACACTTAAACCTGAGAGTGTTCTTGATCTGGCCAACTGTTGTGAAAGGTGTTTTCTTCTCTAGGGGAAGAATTCTTTGGTCATCCACCACAGTTGTTTCTGATGTCTTCAGATCTTTTGGTGTTGCTGAGCTCAGTGGTGCGTTATTTCTTTTTAAGAATTCTAATTGTTTTGGCCACACCTAATGTTTTTTGCTATCTCTCTGATGGGTTTGTTTTGTTTTTTCAGTCTAATGATGGCTTGCTTCACTAGATAGTCTTTGGATCTCTGTCAACTTGAGAGTTGACTCACAAATTCCAAATGCAAAAAGCACACTTGAAATGAACTCTAGACATTTTGTCTGCTCAATTGTTATTGGGATAATGAGTAAATAACACACACCTGGCCATGGAACAGCTTAAAAGCCGATTATCTAATTACTTTTGGACCTTTAACAAGTGTGAGGCACATATGCAAACTGTTGTAATTCCTTCACTGTTCACCTGATTTTGATGAAAGAAGCACCTAAACTGCTCAAGGCTGGGCTAATGCTGAGGTTTCATCTTTGGGTAGACTCAATAATATCCATCTGCACATTGCCACTTCATTAGACTGGCGTGTTTGTGTTTGTATGTGTGGGTGTGTGTTTTTCCTTTTCTGTGTTAGAGGGCGGGGCCTCATGTTTTAAATCTCCCGGGTTTGCGTGTGCAACTACTTGGTTTCGTTGTCACCTCATAGTGAAACACCTAATGACTCGTTATCAAGAAGACTCGTTTGAAGCACTATGAGTCAACTCTTTTGTAGATGAATCAACAGTTTTAAACACTGTACACTTACAGATTTAAGCCTTATAGCTGGATATTTCACTTCACTTAGAGCTGTGTTACACACTACATGGAAGGGCATTTTCAAAAACCCATAATATGGGCTCTTTAAAGCACATATCAAATCGATTGTATTGGTGTATAGAGCCAAGAATGTTAGAATTGTGTCGACAACTTCTCAGTCTGCTACAATTTAATTTATATCTAGAAAACATGCTGAAGTAAATTGTCCAAATAATTGTGAAATGAAAATGCCAAAATACAATTTAAAAAAACGTTTTTGACATGACACATCTTCTTCTTTGGCCTTAGTCCTGGTTGCGAGGTCGGCTCTTTGGAACAAGTCCTCTCCATTTAGACTTGTCCATATGATAACTTTTTTACACATTCCGGGCAGCCTGTCATCTAGGCCTGTCACCCTCATACACTCATACACTACGGACAATTTAGCCTACACAATTCACCTGCAGCATGTCTTTGGACTGTGGGGGAAACCGGAGCATCCAGAGGAAACTCACGCGAACGCAGGGAGAACATACAGAAACGCCAACTGAGCCGAGGTTTAAACCAGCGACTCAGCGACCTTTTGACATGACACATATTTAATTGAAAATATTATTTTGATCTGTACTTCTTAAAATGTAAAATATGAACTTTAAATGTTTTATATATTTTCAATTATTAACAACTTGCTCACGACTAGGTAAATGTGTAACATTTCGCATTTTGGGGCTGTGATATTAAATTATAGTATCTGTTTATGTCACTGAATAATTCATGGCCAAAATATATTAGTATCTACAGCAACATTATGACATTATGACATAAAAAATGACTGTAAAAATGAACCTGTGTCAGTTTTTTTCTCAGAAAACAAAAACTAATGTAGTTAATAGTAAACACGGACTTCAGTCCCCTTACAGAGTTTCTGCATGGTATGTGTTATTTATTTATTTATTTTTTGTTTGTTTTGTTAAGTTATTTTGTATTATTATTTTAGTTTTGTTTGGTTTTGTACATGATTCACTGTTTATCTGACATGTCTCAGTCAGTTTGTGCAAGATTATGTTTGGACTGAGTTTGGCCCAAATTGTTGTTTTTGAAAGGCAAAAAAAAAAACGGACTTCAGTTCCCAGGATGCATTTGACTTATCGCCCTGTGGCCAATCGGGAAGCTCGTTACAGCCGCAGCGGAGAGCTGTATGTAAGGAGGAATGGCGCCGGTTGCTGCTGGAGCTCTGAAGTGAATCCTCCGCGGATTCTGACCACTGAGAGCAGATCTGTCGGTAGAGGTTGGTCCTTCTCTCACCATCTCTTACTTCTCTCTGTTCATTAACTGTCACGCATTTAATGTTTACCTATTAGCTAGCTGTCACAAGTCGGTGTCATTGGAAAGCATTGTTATTCTAATGGTGGACTACTGTATAATAGCTACATTTTTATAACATTTGTAACGTGTTGTAAATGTAAGAGTTTGAAAAAATGTTTTGGTGAATGTTTAATGTGATTTTGTTTTTCTTTTGTTTGTTATACATTATATTATATATTAAAAAAAACGTAACAGTTTTTCAATTAATACCAAGACCATGTGTTATGAGTTGGGGTTAATCATTCAGTCCAAATTAGTTTTAATTAGTTTAACAGTAGCATTGACTAATGGTAGTTGATGATTAGGCAGTAACAAATTGAGAGATTACACTAAATAAATACAACAAACCGTCATGTGGACCTGGACATGTAAAATGGTATTTTTTTTAACCATATTTGGTAACACTGTTGGATATCTCAAAAAAAGACATTGCGCTTTTCTTTCTTTTTGCGTTACATATTGAGATATGAATACATTTTCACCAGATATATCTCTGTAGGAAAGATTTTTTCATGTTTGACTGAAATAATTTTGTAAGGGAATGTATCTGCATAAAATATAATAAATTACAGGAAAACAATTAAAACTCTAATTCACATCTTGCTATGAGTACTGCAGATGTGCACATTGTGTCAGTGCTGAATTGATACGTTGTGCATTCCTAAAAAATCCGATATTTTTCCTTTATCAGGAGTATTACTGTTGACCACACCATATTATTATTATTAATAATAATAATAATAATAATAATAATAATAATAATAATAATAATACTGTG